GGTCTAATATTGATTGAATGCCTAAGCACTCAAAGATTCTCTGGAGTCCGTCGATAGCAAGAATCTGCGAAATACTGCTTTTTTTCTTCTTCTTGTGTTGTTTATGAATGGCATGCTGGCATAAAAAATCTTCACTTATCATTCATTTAATTAATTACTTATCTTTAATAAGATTTAAATTAGAAACCATAAAAATAAATTAAATAAATTTATCAAGGCAGGGGACGGAGAATGTTATGTCCCAAATATAAAAATGTAGTTTTTGAAAGTATTCCATATTAGAGTATTTCATTCAAGGGCAAAGCTCCTTATTGGTTCCCATTTCTTAAAATTTATTTTCAATCACACATTTTTTGGGATTTATAATTTTTATCAACTTTTTATCAAAATTTTGATTTTTATCCATATCCAAAAACTAAGCCTTGTTCCCATTAAATTTTGGATCAATTTCAATTTTAGTTCATTGCTAGATTTAAGGTTTATTGTTCACGGGAAATATAGAAGAGTTAGACTATAATATTAGAAATCACAAAAGACTGTATTAGTTTGGTTGACCTTTCCTCTGTTGACTTGTTTTGATGAGATCACGTTATTGTTATGAAGGTGAGCTTCTTTAGGATTATGCAAAACATGTCTAAACTACCTAGTCTTTCATCTCTTAATTTACCCTCATTCAGCACACCTTTACTGGATGAAGGTTTAAGAAAAAAGACAATTTATGACGAGTTAATAGAATGATCGTTGATGGGGGAGGGAGAGAGAGCAATAACGAAGCTAAACTACTTTGTTTCAAGTCAAAAACTTGTACCACTTAAAGGGTATTGTCACCCTATAAACGATAAATAACAACAATAAACCATATTTTCTTTAAGCTTTGGATAGATATGTTTCTATACTTCGGGATTATTAGTATGTAGTTTGTGTACATGTCTTCCCTCCTACTGATCACATGTACGAGATCCACTTTTTAGTCTCTTTTTTTTTTTTATCAGGTAAATAAATATATTGATTAGAATTTCAAGTAAAACTACTACGAACATTCCCGAGCATAGAAATCAAACATCACAAAAGATCTAAAGATCCAAAACATTATAGACTCAAAATGAATCCAAACATAAAGTTTAAAAGTTTCTGGTCTCTCTTTCTACCATGCCCAGTTGCTTCTTGTGGATTTCAAAAACCTGCTTTCACTTCTATTAGCCCCCGTTTGGCTCTCATTATTTCAAATTTCAATGGGTAGAGTAGTATTTATTTATTTATTTATTTATTATTATTATTTTATTTTTTTAGAATGGATGGTTAAAAATGAAGAAAAAAAATTTAATTTATGTATAATATTATTTTATGAAAGATTATGTAAGTAAACATAGGAGAGAGAAAAATA